TACACTACATTACACTGAATGACACTGCACCACAGATAGACAGGTAGACAGATAGATAGATAGATAGATGGATGGATGGATAGATAGATAGATAGATAGATAGGTAATTAGATGAGAGAGAGAGAGAGATAGATCGATAGATAAATACATACATAGATAAGTAGGTAGGTAGGTAGATAGTCAGAGAAAGAGAGAGAAAGAGAGGAGACCTCAACCACCGTTCAGTCCATCAGTGGCTTCGCTCTGCCATCCCTGATTCACAACAACCAATCTCTCCTATAGGTTTCTTATTTTTGAAACTTCCGCCACCGCCTTGTGCAGTACTACTGGTAAGAATTTGAAGAATAATACAGGAAGACGAAGACAAAGCCGTAAAACGGAAGCGGCTTGTGTAGCAAGGTTTGCTGATTTGTTGCAACAACCTATTGACCGTATACCAAATTAGCACCGCCCCTAGCAATGTAGCGCCAGGTACCATGTATGAGCCTCTGTCTTGACAGCAGACCGCTGCATGGAAGGAGACAGGGGGGAGAGATTGGTTGACGTGCACGCTAGGTGGAAGCCTGAGAGAAGAAGAGACGAAGACAGAGCCGTAGATCAGAAGCAGCTTGAGTAGCAAGTGCGTGCTTGAATCGATGGAACGCAAACCAAATGAGTCCTGGTCGATCAGTACCGTGTGCGTCCTGTGACGAGTACCTGTAGACGACGGTAATGTTGTAGGCAATGTCATGAGCTACCGGCACTACCAGTGTAGTACTTGGGGAAAAAGGGAGGAAGGAGTAGAGGAGTCGGAGTCGGAGTAGGCGTCGGAGTAGGAGTAGGAGGAGAAGGAGTAGGAGTAGGAGTGGTGGTAGTTGTAGTTGTAGTTGTAGTTGTAGGTTGGAGTTGTAGCTGTAGCTGTAGCTGTAGTTGTAGTTGTAGTTGTAGTCGTAGTAGTTGTCGTAGTTGTCGTAGTAGTAGTAGTAGTCGTCGTCGTCGTCGTCGTGGTGGTGGTGGTGGTGGTGGTAGTCGTCAGTGGTGGTGGTGGTGGTGGTAGTGGTGGTAGTGGTGGTAATAGTAGTAGTAGTAGTAGTAGCAGTAGTAGCAGTAGTAGCAGTAGTAGCAGTAGTAGCAGTAGTAGTAGTAGTAGAGTAGTAGTTGTCGTCGTAGTAGTAGTAGTAGTAGCAGGAGTAGTAGTAGTAGTAGTAGTAGTAGTAGTAGTAGTGGTGTTTTTAGTAGTAGTACTTGGAGCAGGGGAGAGGGGGGGTGACCTTGATTCAGAGGAAGCAAAATTGCGCAGCAAGAGAACAAAAGAACAACTACAAGCCAAGAACACAAACAAGAACAACACCTTCCAATCAGACACGCCGGCAGGCCCGCGGATTGCTAATTTGAAGTGATCATGCCATCCCATCGGAATTCATGCAAACCAATCATATTTGCAACCCTTGCTGTGTGTCTGCATGTTCGGTGGTTTTGCTTGGTTTAGTCAATCTTGTCCTGGCTTGTGGAGCGATTGGGAGTTGACGTTTTTAGTAAGATTCAGTTCCTAGAGTTCATCAAGCCGAATTTGTGCCATGAAGGTCGTAACTGTTTCCACCTACTTTTTCCTTTACATGCATGGGGGGGCTGATGCAGCTCTGACCAAGGCCACTTCCTGCTGTTGAAGGAAAGAGGTCTGTTCAGCTGGTGTCTTGAAGGGTCAGGGTATGGTTATGGCGGTTATGGTCGCTTCAGACATCATCTAGAGTGTTTTCGCCTATGAAGGGAAATTACTTTACTTCGTGTGACCCCCACCATGACATTTATACATTTTGTTACTGGCAAATCTTCTGGCATTCTATCTGACATTTTATCTGGCATTCTATCTGGCATACCTTCTGGCATTCTATCTGGCATATCTTCTGGCATTCTATCTGGCATACCTTCTGGCATTCTACCTGGCATATCTTCTGGCATATGTTCTGGCATATCTTCTGGCATTCTATCTGGCATTCTATTATCTGGCATATCTTCTGGCATATCTTCTGGCATTCTACCTGGCATATCTTCTGGCATATGTTCTGGCATATCTTCTGGCATTCTATCTGGCATTCTATTTGGCATATCTTCTGGCATATCTTCTGGCAAATCTTCTGGCATTCTATCTGGCAAACATTCTGGCACTTTATCTGGCATACCTTCTGGCATTCTATCTGGCATATCTTCTGGCATATTATCTGGCAAATCTTCTGGCATTCTATTTGGCAAACATTCTGGCACTTTATCTGGCATATCTTCTCGGCCGTTGAGGTCCAGCGGTGCACACTGAGCTGGGCAGGTCCCAGTCCAGCAGTGCACACTGAGCTGGGAAGGTCCCAGGTTGAGGTCCAGCTGTGCACACTGAGCTGGGCAGGTCCCAGGTTGAGGTCCAGCGGTGCCCACTGAGCTGGGAAGGTCCCAGGTTGAGGTCCAGCGGTGCCCACTGAGCTGGGAAGGTCCCAGGTTGAGGTCCAGCGGTGCACACTGAACTCGGACGTTGGCGAAGAGTTTGGCGAAGAGTTGGCAAGGCGGAAGTGGAGGTGGAAGTTGATGCAGACATGGTCGAGGAGAAACTGGAGGAGGAGGAGGAGGCGAGGAGGAGAAGGAGGAGAAGGAGGAGGAGGAGGAGAGCTAGCCGAGGAGGAAGAGGAGGAGAACAACTCTGATAAAATCTAACAACCCTCACCTGGCAGGTGGGGAAAAAGAGATGGCATGATGCAATTTGCCTGCGGGCGCTGGACTCCCATGCTTTGATGGAAGTGGTTTAACATTTCTAAGATATATTGTCATATGGGCCTTAACCCCCTCGAGTGTGTTTGTTGCAGAGTTGTTGCATCCAGCGGGCAAGAGTCAATATGCGACGCGGTTGTGCCTGGCCTGACAAAGGTCCCCGAGGAGGTCGCAACAACTCGCACGCTGGTTTCCATGCCTTCGCAAAGCATACTTGGACTTGAGACCATTGTGAGCAAAACCAGGCGGTACATCGATCTTGTGGCTGGCTTTCTGGTCCTTTCGCACCTTGGCATGGCAGCCTTGTGTACCAGGAACCACACGTTTTGTTCTCCCATCGGCCCACACAATGCCCTCAGTGCAAATGCATTTCCTCACACGTTTCATTGCAAAGTGGCAATTAGGAGGAAACCGAATCGTCGGTAATCAGTTATACTTGAGCGGGTACTTGTAGCCACACAGATTTGCGGAGAAACAACTTTCCAGCGCGATGCAAAAGAAACTGAAATCCAAGCGCCGCAAGCAGCTATTCAATTCCCTGCTTAGCATGCCTCGTAACATTGAAAAGTGCTACTTCTGAGCCTCTGAGCCAGGAACTCTCTTGTGATGATGTTGGAATTGGAGATGGAGGGCCGAGCAGTGGGTTTGCAATTGGGCCTGGGAGACGGCTCGGCATGGGTTTTGGAAGAAGTAGAGCCCACCTTTCAAGGCACAGAGGGTGGGTCTGAATTGGCGGCGCTTACAGATGACTTTGGTTACTCCAGCCATTCAAACGAAAGTTGCCGGTCTAGCAGTCTAGCCTCATCTAGCGCTATATATATATATATATATGCGTGGGGACATTGTCGTGACATGTACCAATCATGTACCATTGTGAACGTTCTGACCTGGAATGTCATGTTGAGCTCCTGAACTCCCCTCCCAGGCGTGGACACTGCCTTTGTGTACGTTTTCCTGGTCGAGTTGCTCTTTAGGATTTTGGCAGAGGGTCGGCTGCTCAATATTCAGCAGATTTGATAAGTGCCGGCAGAGAAACGGCCTGAAGTCAGTGTAGGGAGCATGTTGCGCTCATGTTGAAGCTATGTTGGGATATCTTAGAGTCTTAGACCATCCCGGATTGAAGGGCCGGCCTTGGGCCCATGTTGGGCCAGGTTGGGCCCACCTTGGGCTAACGTATTCTTTTGAAATCAGACAATCTGCAAGCGGTTGCAAACATGTTCCATAAAGACACGCCAGACATGCAGCACATATACATGTTGAAATGTAGTTGGGGCAACGTGTGACTAGTACTCCCGTCTGTAGCAACTATCCCGTCACAGCATATATCTCTACTAGATCGTTTGTTCCCGTTTGTTCAGTCACACCGTGCCAAATATGTTAAGCAAAGCATCATGTCAGAATCATATCATACAATCAGTTCACTGTGGGTTTACAGTGATGAAATTTACTTTAGTGTTATGTGACAGTTTGGGTTCACTTGACCAGTCAACTCCGCTAGGTTCAGGATGGTTTGTGGAATCATAGGTGGTCTCCAGGAGCGGTAAACCAAAAAAAAGGTAAGAAGGAAAAGGCCAGACAGTCGAGCAATGGGTGGTTGGGGATTGTTGTTGTTGTTGTTGTTGTTGTTGTTGTTGTTGTTGTTGTTGTTGTCGTTGTGGTTGTCGTTGTCGTTGTCGTTGTCCTTGTCGTTGCCGTTGCCGTTGCCGTTGCCGTTGTCGTTGTCGTCGTCGTCGTCGTCGTGGTTGTTGTTGTTGTTGTTGTTTTGTTGTTGTTGTTTTGTTGTTGTTGCTGTGGTGGTCGTCGTCGTCGTCGGTGGTGGTGGTGGTGGTGGTGGTGTTGGTGTCGTTGTCCTTGTCCTTGTCCTTGTCCTTGTCCTTCTTGTTGTTCTTGTTGTTGCTGTTGTTGCTGTTTTTTTTGTTGTTGTTGGTGGTGTTTTTTTTTTGTTGTTGTTGTCGTTGGTTGTTTTTGTGCGCGGCGGAGGTTTTTGTTGGCGCAGCAAGGTTGGGCCGTCGTGAGGCTATGTTGGGCCCATCTGCAGGCCAGGTTGCAGCTATGTTGGGCCATCTTGAACGATGGTGTGGCTATGATGGCCCATCGGGCAGTCTTGGGGGCTATGTTGGGCCCTTGGGCCCATGTTTGGCCTATGTTGGCCCCTATGTTGGCCTATCTTGGCCCTATCTTGGCCCATGTTGGCCCTGTGTTGACCCTATGTTGGCCCCATGTTGGCCCAACCTGTGGCCTATGTTGAGGCTATGTTGGCGATATGTGAGACCATCTCTGTTGAAAGACCTCCAAGATGCCAATTTTTCCTTCCCGGACCCCTCCGCGGAACCAAAAACCACGTAAAAACCACAGTTTTTTACTTTCGCCAACAAAAAATTGGGATCGGCCGAGGCTACGAAACACCGTAAAAAACGATGTTTTTGTGACTTCACACGCGCACACACACACGAAACACCGTAAATTATGGCGACTTTGGTTGGTCGGGCTAGTTCAGACGTGGGTCGGCGGCATCGACCGAAGGCCCTCACGGGGAGCACCGTGGCCGGCGCCCGGATTTAAGTAATTTCGTCGCTGCCGCTGGCAAAACAATGTTATGAGATCCTTGTGTGCCAACTGGTTCAACCGGACAGATGATATGAATGATATCAGTTGTTTATCCATGAAACAACGGAATAGAGACATATGGACTGAATGCGTGATGGTCGCATGCCCAATACGTCGTGCACCCATGCCTCCAGTGTCATTCAGTACTGTAACTGCTTGCCTGTGTACGACCACATTCCAGATGGAGTGCTTTCCTGTGCATTTGAAGACCTTTGAAGACAGATCAATTTGAGACAGTGATCAGCTTTGATGTTGCCCATGCCATGTTGTTGACACCAGGCCGCAACTTTTTCTTTGATGCTGCCAACTGGTTTGACACAGTTCTGGTCGCTTGGCAGCTATAACGCAGCGGTCTGGCAAGTGGCTGAGGTATCGTGACGTTGTTGAGAAAACAAATGTAGTTGCCTGACAATTGGCAAACAGCAAACACTTTTTTCTTGAGCACACCGAATCCTACCAAGTAGTAATGGGTGAAGGGCACCGTGTGGCCTTTGAGAGAAACACTTCTCCGTGTCTTTACGTTAAGAAATCCTCCCGTGGGTGCCATGCTTGTGCTGCAGCCGTTTTTGTTCCTTCCTGTTTGGGTTTCTCAGGTCCTGGTGGGCCTTGCCGACATTTGGATTATTGTAGCTCGACAAACCGTGAACCAGGAGCTGACATTTGTGTTGGATGCTAACTTGGCTCATTGCTACCATTGGCAAGCGGTGCCCACATTCACAAGAAAGAGTGGGAGGCTCTTGGCTAGAGGCGCTACCCAGCACCCACAAGCAGAGATCCTATTATTTCGATTCATTTGTTAGGTTGAGGATGTTGAGGGATCGGGGCGTGTGATGACCTAGGTGCCAGTCACTACAGGTGGCAGCACGGATCCGCAGAACATTGTCATGATGCGCTTGTTCCGTGCAGTGAAATGCTTGCGAGCTATCCGTTTCTCATTCTATCATTTGGCAGTGTTGGGGTGGCTTTGAGTCTGAACCTAGCCAAACATGCAGCAAAACAGCTCAGCAAACTTAAAAACTAGACGACGGATGGCCCGAGAGCGTGGAGGAGCAGAGTCTTCTGTTGTTAGTATGGAGACACTATATTACAAGACAATATATTAAAGATGTATTAAAGGCAGACGAGAAGAATAGTATCAAGACAATATATCACAAACACAAGACCATAGTTTGCATCGTAAATTTCGTACAGTTTTTCACACACAGAACTTTTTACAAACAGACGCGTTTGCACACAGAGACTTTTACACACAGACGCTTTTACACACAGACGTTTTACACAAAGAGGCTTTTACACAGAAGCTTGCGCACACAGAGAGGCTTTTACACACAGAAGCTTTTACATACACAGAATTTTACACGCAGAAGCTTTTACACGCAGACCCTTTTACAGACAGATGCTTTTACACAAACACCTTCACACGCAGAGACTTTTACACACAGACACTTTTACACACAGACACTTTTACACACAGAGACTTTTACACACAGAAGCTTTTACACAAACACCTTCACACGGACTTTTACACACAGACGCTTTTACACACAGACACTCTTACACACAGGCGCTTTTACACACAGACGCTTTTACAGAAACACTTTCACACGCAGAGACTTTTACACACAGACGCTTTTACACACAGACGCTTTTACACAGAGACTTTTACACACAGAAGCTTTTACGCACAGACGTTTTTACGCTTTTACACGCAGACACTTTTACACACAGAGACTTTTACACACAGAAGCTTTTACGCACAGACACTTTTACACGCAGACACTTTTACACACAGACGGTTTTACCAGCAGACGCTTTTACACACACACACACACATTCACACCCGGAGACTTTTACACAAAGACGCTTTTACACGCAGACACTTTTACACACAGACTCAGACGCTTTTACACACAGACACGTTTACACAAACACATTCACACGCAGAGACTGTACACACAGAAGCTTTTACACAGACGCTTTTACACACAGAAGCTTTTACACACAGACGCTTTTACACACAAACACTTTTACACACAGACGCTTTTACACACAAACATTTTTACGCACAGAGACCGGACCCGTGAAATCGCAATTTCACTTCAGTTTTTGGCGATCGAACCTCATTTTGTGCGAAGGGTTCCGATTGGACAAGAGGAATCGCAATTTTACCTCAGTTTTTGGTGATCGAACCTCATTTCGTGCGAAAGGGTTGCGATTGGACGCCTCGAAATTGCAATTTTACTGCAGTTTTTGCCGATCGACCCTCATTTCGTGCGAAAAGGTTGCGATTGGACGCCAGAAATCGCAATTTTACTTCAGTTTTTGGCGATCGAACCTCATTTCGTTCGAAAGGGTTGCATGGGAACCCGGGAAATGACAATTTTACTTCAGTTTTTGGCGACCGAACCTCATTTCGTGCGAAATTGGTTGCGATTCGACGCCTCGAAATCGCAATTTTATGGCAGTTTTTGGCGATCGAACCTCATTTCGTGCGAAAGGGTTGCGATTGGACGCCTTGAAATCGCAATTTTACCGCAGTTTTTGGCGATCGAATTTCATTTCTTGCGAAAGGGTTGCGTTTCGTGCCGTCTCGTTGGCACTTCAAGAGAGAAATAGAAAAGAAGGAGATAGCAAGAGGGCAAGAGGGCAAGAGAGCAACAGGGCAAGAGAGAATGTGAAGATGTGAAGATGAGCAGATGTGAGGATGGGAAGATGAGAAGATGAGAAGATGTGAGGGTGTGAAGATGTGAGGATGTGAAGATGAGAAGATGTGAAGATGTGAGGATGTGAAGATGTGAGGATGTGAGGATGAGAGGATGTGAATATGAGCAGGTGTGAAGATGAGAAGATGTGAAGATGAGAAGAAGTGAAGATGAGAAGATGCTTGACAGACCCCCACTATTGGAAGAACCCTGCGCTCAGACGCTCTCGGGAAAAAGGTGGTTGAAAGGACATGTAGAAACATCAAGGTTACCCTTCATTTTCCAGTTCATGAAGCTGGGCTGGACATGTCAGGCTGCATGCCGAGCTTTCTATAAGTGGCATTTGAACCGCTAAAGCACACAGATTCATCAATAAGTTGCAGGGGACACTTTCCTGGTTTCCAGAAGGTTATGTTCATGTTCGGCCAAGGTATGGTTCGGACTTTCCGCTTGTTTCGCGGCCTGAACTTGCTGGTAAAGGTGGCCAGACTAGATGGGAAGCCAATGGAAAGCTTAAAAATCGCATGTAGCATCATGTAGCTAGTTCAGAGGAGCTGAACCAGGTGCCTTCCAGAAACTGGGACCTAGTCTTCAAACTTATATATTTCCAGTATTGGAAACATAGGGAGACATTTGGAGACTCAGAATCTATCGAAATTCATGAGTTGCTTGATTTCGCATTGCGTATTCTTTCTTTGCCGAGTGGTCAGTGCAGCGCGTGCCCTCAACACACAGGCCTGTCAATGCTTTCTACCATCCCTTGGCTGGTCAATGGTGTTGCTCTTCGTCTTCATGTCAATGGGCACGTTGATCATGGGGAATCTATTGCGAAGCTTCATTGAAGACCCATCGAACTTGTTTGAAGATCGTGTGTGGGTCTGGAACCGCTATGGAACTGCATATCGGGCTATGTACACACTCTACGAGGTGCTGTGGAGAGAGGATTTGGGGCAATGATTACAAGCAACTACTTACGAAGTGGTGCTTCAGCTTGAGTACAGGATGAATAGCATTATACTAAGATTATGTATGCATATAACATACTTCATCATATTTCTAGTCTCTACGGCATTTAATGTCGCAATGTTGAAGGACCCACGCGCAAAAATATGATTTGGTTCCACTGCTGATAGGCAAGCCTAGCAGCTACCATGCTAACATGATGTGTGTGTGTATGGCACGTCTGTATAGACGTAAAACTTCATACAATATATAATATTCTAACGCGGGGGGTCACCGGGGTCCCGGCAGGGTCGGTGACCAATGAAGACACCCCCCCGGGACCCGTGTAAACGTACCCGCAGGACTTCGGTGGTGCACCTGGGCGCATTTAAGTCGCAGCTGGTGGCCACCGTAGTCCTATATATATATATACATACATACATATGTATTCATTCTTGTTTAAGTAACTAATCTAATTGCACATTTCAGGACTCAGTTCCTGCCGGATCACTATAATGATCCTTTCTTGTCTAGTGTGATTTCCATGGTGGCTCCGACATGGTGCCATGGAGCCATTGGAGGCAACCCTGTTTAGGGTGAATGATGACTGTCCTGACTTCTGAATTCACACATTTTAATCTGGTAATTCGTTTACGTAAAGTGAAACAGTCGGCCTTTCGGTTTTTCAGCCATTTTTCGAGATTCCCGTGAGATTCCCGCTGATCCTGCGGTCCCTTGCGAAACCTTGTGGAATGCAGTTCTCCGACTGTGCAGCTGTACCGAACTGCCAGAAACTTCTTTTTTCGCTGCAGCTTCAGTGACTGAAGTGACATGTGCATTACTACACGACACAGAGATCAGGCAGGTACATGGCCTTAGGTGTGGTATTCTTCCCTTTTGATGGTTTTCTGGTGAGGTAAAAAATATTGTGCATCTAATTCGTTGGAATTCGTACAGCTGTGAAATGCCTTCGGGCGCGACCTGACCACGTTCTCTTAGGAATTTTTGGGCTGAGTCCTTTTAACCTTGTTTTCTTTCTTTCACCAACTAGTCCCCCATTGGTCCCCTATTTCATGCGTTCTTCCCTCCCCAGGTAGGTCGGGTCCGTCGCGTGCTGAGGTTTGTGTAGGTTTTCGCTGTGTCAGGTTGGTTCAGGCGCTTCCGTCTTCCCCCCCCTCTGCTGGTCTTGTTCCGTGTCCTTCGACCCTCCGCTTTTCTCTTTCCTTGCCCTTTCAGGGTTTGCCCGCTTCGGGCCAGGTGTGTTGGTGTGTGTTCTCTCTTTCCTTCTTTTGCGTTCCCCTCTTCGCGTTCTGGTTAAGCAATCTTTCATTTCATTTTCATGCTCATCTCACCTTCATTCCCCCCTCATCCTCATTTTCACCTCATCTTCCTTGGCACCACCCTGCCAAAGGCAGGGTGTGTGTGTGTATGGCACGTCTGTATAGACGTAAAACTTCATATAATATATAATATTCTAACGCGGGGGGTCACCGGGGTCCCGGGGGGGTCGGTGACCAATGAAGACACCCCCCCGGGACCCGTGTAAACGTACCCGCAGGACTTCGGTGGTGCACCTGGGCGCATTTAAGTCGCAGCTGGTGGCCACCGTAGTCCTATATATATATATATACATATGTACTCATTCTTGTTTAAGTAACTAACCTAGTTGCACGTTTCAGGACTCAGTTCCTGCCGGATCACTATAATGATCCTTTCTTGTCTAGTGTGTGTGTGTGCGTGTGTGCCAAGTACATCCCTAAAGGGCTCAACTTCAGCAGCCTTTCGCAGGTGACCTTTGCTGGGAGCCTCGGAGGCATACCAAATTTTGATTTTACCTAAAATTTCGACATATTTTTTCTCTGATGTTTGTGTCTTGCAGATAGGCTGCAAAAGAATGGAAACATGATCCGTTTGCACCAGTAGTAACAACTCAGGAACTGGCCAACAAACGCCCGCCCAGTGTTGGAGAAAGTTAGCCATGCCTTTGTGCTCCTTGGCTGCAGGTTTCCGCTTCAACGATGTCCCTTGAATTGATGTGCTATGAATCTGTTCCCCTGGTTGATAAACTGGCCACGCTAAGACTGATCGGTCAAACAACTTTCCTTCTCAAGTCTGGAGTGTTGAATGGGTTGGCTCCCCAGAGTGTTTGGTATGGTTGTTCATGGTTCCCCAACCAACTGGTGGGGTGTTGGCTGTCCTGCACATTGTCACACCAGTGGTCTTCCGACCGTCATCCTCCCCCTTGCATTGGGCTTCATCCTGGGTGCTTGTGCTTGCCTTTGGGCTTTTGGATTTGTGGGTCCTGCACATCACCTTTCTGCCGTCCTTGTCACAAGATCTTGCGGGATTCTAGTGAAATGCTGTCAGAGAGGCTCTAGCATGATTTTGTGCAGCTCCTTGTGAGAAGATCTCGAAGAGGTCCTGGTGAAAATACTTTAGGTGTCCTTGCGTGATCTCGTGCAGGTCCGGTCCTTGTGAGAAGATCTTGTGAAGATCCTGTTGGGATCCTCCTCAAGAGGTCCTTGCATTAAGACCTTGAAGATGCTCCGCATTGGTGATAGTATTGTATGAGAGTTCTTCTGGGATGTTCATAGGAGGTTCCTGTGTGAAGGTCTTCTAAGATCCTCTATGTATAGAAGGTCCTTGCTTAACGATCTCTTGAAATTCTCTTGGATGTCCGGGTATGAGGTTCTGGTATGGGGTCCTGATGAGTCGAGATAGCGTTGCCTCTTGTGCCAAAACAAGTTGCTGCTGCAGTTACGAGAATGTCTAACCTGATCCGTTACTGTTTCACAGCTACTGTTGCTTGTATTTGGTACATTGACTTCCTACCCCCCGCGCTGTTTTGGTGTTTCTTGCCGGTGTAATTTAGAGGAGCTCGCAGGATCTGCGTGCAGGGATCCTCTCAGGAATCCACAGACCTGTGCACAAGTATTTCGAAAAGTATCCCAGCAAGAGACCCCAAACAGTGTGGGGAAGTGGGAGGATAATGCAAAATAATGTTGAGGATGATGGCTGTGATGGTGAGGGTGATGATGTGGATGATAATTTTGCAGGCGGCGATGATGTTGATGATGATGATGTTGGGGGTGATGAGGTGCAGGACATACCTCCAAAAAATTCCCCGACAAAATCTAACGCGTCAACGTTTGGCACAAAGCATTTTTCCCACATCTTTGTGTGGGGCTCTTGTTTTTGATTCTGTATCCCGCTCCGCCTCCCGGCCCCGCCGCCTCCACCATCACACACTCTCTTTCACACACGCACACACACACCTTTGTTCACGCACAACTTTGCCACACACACCACCATTCACACACACACACAACTTTGTCACACACCATCTTTCACACACGACTTTGTCACACGCCATCTTTCACACTCAACTTTGTCACACAACTTTTTCACACACACACAACTTTGTCACACACCATCTTTCCACACACAGCTTTGTCACACACCATCTTTCACACACACAAATTTGTCACACACTATCTTTCACACGCAACTTCGTCACACACCATCTTTCACACACAACTTTGTCACACACCATTTTTCACACAACTTTGTCACACACACCATCTTTCCACACACAACTTTGTCACACACAACTTTGTCACACACACACACACTATCTTTCACACACAGCTCTGTCACACACACACACACCATCTTTCACACACAGCTTGGTCACACATCATCTTTCACACACACAGCATTGTCACACACCATCTTTCACACACCATCTTTCCACACACCATGTTTCACAAACACGACTTTGTGACACTATCTTTCACACACAACTTTGTCATACACCACCTATCGACATAGAGGCACTTGCTCACATCAACCTTCGTTTTGCGTGGCAGGTGTGGCACTTGTGGCACTGGGCTGGCTCTGATTGTGCGCTTGGGCGCCGTTAGTCCCTCGTGACGCCGTGGCACTTTGCGTGGCAGGCCTGGCACTTGGCGACATCCACCTTCGTTTCACGTGGCAGGCGTGGCACTTAGCGACGTCCACCTTCTTTTTGCGTGGCAGGTGTGGCACTTGTGGCACTGGGCTGGCTCTGGTGGCGCGCTTGGGCGCCGTTAGTCGCCCGTGACGCCGCGGCACTTTGCGTGGCTGTGGCACTTGGCGACATCCACCTTCGTTTTGCATGGCAGGCATGGCGCCTGGCGGCATCGACCTTCGTTTGCGGTGGCAGGCGTGGCACTTGGTGACATCCATGCTGCAAGTGAGTTCATCTCTCTCAAATACGACTTTGTCACACACACAACTTTGTCACGCGCAATCTTTCACATCTCTCTTTCACATGCAGCTTTATTGCACAATATCGCACACAACTTTGTCAAACACAACTCTTTCGCACACAACTTTTTCACACACATCTCTCTCACACACAACTTTGTCACCCACAACTGTGTCACACATAACTTTGTCACACACACACACAAGTTTGTCACACATACAATTTTGTCACGCACACAACTTTGTCACTGACAACTTTGTCACACAACTTTGTCACCCACATTTTTGTCACACACAATCTTTCACACACATCTCTCTCACATGCCACTTCTCTCCCACACATCATCTTTGTCACGCACAACTTTGTCACACACACACACAACTTTGTCACACAGAACTCTCTCACACATACACAGCTTTGTCACAGACAACTTTGTCACACACAACTCTTTCACACACAACTGTTTACAACTTTGTCACAGATGATTTTTCACACACAACTTTGTCACACACACACAATCTTTCACACACAGCTTTGTCACAAACAATTTTTTCACACGCAACACTTTCACACACAACTTTGTCACAGACAATCTTTCACACGCAACTCTTTCACTCACAATCTTTTCACACACAGCTCTTTCACTCACAACCTTTCACACACAGCTCTTTCACGCACAACTTTGTCACACACACACACAGCTCTTCACATACAAGTTTTAAAATGATTGACCGTCTGCCATCTCCTTTGTCCTTTCTTCTTTCTCCGTGCCGCTTCAACCACTTTTTCTGATTATTGGAAGAAGTTGACTTGTGGGGTTATCCGGTCCTTTAATTTTGTGGGAGATGGCTGGGTATCTTGAATCATTTGCAAGCAGGTTTTTGATTTTGGAGGGACATTTTTTGGGATCATTTTAGAGGCCACCTTAAGCGATGTTTTTTATTTTGTAGTGTTCTGGGTTTTCAGGACATTAAGGCCATGTTTTCGATTTTGTGAGATGTTTTTGGTTTTGTAGAGAAGTTGGCTGATCTATGATTTTATTTCAGTTCATATGGTTTCAGTTGGTTTCATAAATAGTTGACATTTATGTTCATACGTTTGCAAGTTCCACCGCGGCCTGGTTCTAAAGCATCTTAAAACTAGTTTTTTTTTAAAATTATTTTTTCATTTTTAAAGTTCATTTGGAAATCTGCTTTTTTTCCTGCCTTCATTTTGAATTCATTTTCATTTCTGCTTTTTTTGGCTTGTGATTGGAGTTTGTGATCCCCAGTGGAAAAAATGGGCCTTGCTGGGCTTCCTTGGGGCTTTTGAGGCTGTCTCTGGCTGTGACAGGTTGGGGTTCTTGCTTGGCATGGCCAAAATTTTCAAATTGCTGGAGAGAGTGTTCCAAAGCCTAAGAAATTAAATTTCGTTCACTCTGTTCGATTCTCTTCTCTTTGATTTTTTTTGGCAATTTTGAAAAATCAGACATCGTTTGTTTTTTAGACTTATTCTTTTTGTTTTTAGATTTTCAAATTCTAGATTTTAAAAGTTCATTTTTTTTCCATTTTGAAAGTTCATATTTTTTTAATTGTTTTTCTTCTTCTTTTTTTTGGACATCATTTTGAAAACTGCTTGGTATGCCACCTGGTATTTCAAAAACTGGTACTTTGGAACTTTCTTATTTTCAAAACTGGTACTCTTGGCTGCTTTTGTTTTTCAAAAGGAGCTATTTCACAAACCTGAGACTTTTGAAAAACAAAGGCAGCCAAGAGTACCAGTTTTGAAAATAAGAAAGTTCCAAAGTACCAGTTTTTAAAATACCAGGTGGCATACCAAGCAGTTTTCAAAATGATGTCCAAAAAAAAGAAGAAGAAAAAAGCAGAAAAAAATGAAAAAACATGAACTTTCAAAATGAAAAAAAGATATAAAACAAAAACTGATTTTACTATTTCTTAGAACCAGGCCGACGAGGGAACTTGCAATCATACGTTTTCAATCATTTTCTGTGGTATTGGAACTTTGAAATTCATATCGGTATTTGAACCTTTATAAAATACTATTTTTTTTTATTATTGAAAAAATCAAAACATTTACCAGCCGGGGGCAATGGAAAGATCGGGTTCTGCAACGCGGTGGAGCCACAACGGGAAGACCACAACGAGAAAATGAGAAATGTCATGTTTATGGTGGGTAAATCGAAAAAAGTTCCGGTGCCATTTTCAAAAAACTTTACACAAATAACTTAAACACATTTTTTGATACTTATTCTTGACCATGTAAAAACTTAAGCATGCACATCATTGCAGATCTAAAAATAGATTGCGAGCTTAGTGCGGCCCGCTATTTCACACCCAGCCAGCCAGCCGGCCGGCCACAAACCAAGCCCCAGCTGGCCGGCCGGCCAGCCACAAACCAAGCCCCAGCTGGCCGGCCGGCCGCAAAACCAAGCCCCAGCCTTAGCTGGCCGGTGGCCGGACGCCACAAACCAAGAACCAGCTAGCCACCGTGGCGCCAGCTGAAGCCAAGCGACAGCCAGCCAGCCAGCCAGCCAGCCAGCGTGGCAGCCAGCCGGTCGGCCGGCCGGCCGGCGGGCCAAAAACCAAGCCCGGCGAATGAAATGAATGAATGCAATGAAAGAAACGACTGACATAAATGCAGTGAATGAAACAAATGAAATGACTGAAACGAATGAAAACGAATGAAAACGAATGAAAGAAGTTCATTAAATGAAATGAATGAAACGAATGAAACAAATGA